CCCCTCCTCCTCCTCCACCACACACTCTGACCTCCTCCTCCTCCTCACACTCTGACCTCCTCCTCCCTCCTCCACACACTCTGACCTCCGCCTCCTCCACACACTCTGACCTCCTCCTCCTCCACACCTCTGACCTCCTCCTCCTCCACACTCTGACCTCCTCCTCCTCCTCCACACTCTCTGTCCTCCTCCTCCGCCTCCTCCTCCTCCACACACTCCTGACCTCCTCCTCCTCCTCCACCTCACTCTGACCTCCTCCTCCTCCTCCCCACATCTCTGACCTCCTCCCTCCTCCTCCTCACACTCTGACCTCCTCCTCCTCCACACTCTGACCTCCTCCTCCACACACTCTGACCTCCTCCTCCACACACTCTGACCTCCTCCTCCTCCACACACTCTGACCTCCCTCCTCCTCCACATCCACTCTGACCTCCTCCTCCTCCTCCTCCTCACACTCTGACCTCCTCCTCCTCACACACTCTGACCTCCTCCTCCACACACTCTGACCTCCTCCCTCCACACACTCTGACCTCCCCTCCTCCTCCACCTCCTCCTCACACTCTGGACCTCCGCTCCTCCACACTCCTGACCTCCTGCCTCCTCCTCCACACTCTGACCTCCTCCTCCACACACTCTGACCTCTCCATCCAATACCACTCCATCACTATCCGCGACCTCTCTCCTCCTCCTCCACACACTCTGACCTCCTCCTCCTCCACACACTCTGACCTCCTCCTGCCTCCTCCTCTCCTCCTCCTCCACACCTCTCCCTCCTCCCTCCACACTCTCACCTCCTCCTCCCACACCTGACCTCCTCCTCCACACTCGACCTCCCTCCTCCTCCACACACCTCGACCCACTCCTCCTCCTCCACACACTCTGACCTCCTCCTCCTCCACCACACACTCTGACCTCCTCCTCCTCCACTCCTCTCCTCCTCCACACACTCTCTGACCTTCTTCCTCACCTCCACACACTCTGACCTCCTCCTCCTCCACACAACTCTCACTCCTCCTCCTCCTCCACCCTGACCATCCTCCTCCTCCACACACTCTGACCTCCTCCTCCTCCTCACACTCCTGACCTCTCCTCCTCCTCCACACACTCTGACCTCCACCTCCTCACACTCTGACCTCCTCCTCCTCCACACCTCTGACCTACTCCTCCTCTCCTCCTCCACACACTCTCTGACCCTCCTCCCTCCCTCCTCCAACACTCTGACCTCCTCCTCCTCCACACACTCTGACCCCTCCTCCTCCTCCACACACTCTGACCTCCCTCCTCCTCCACACACTCTGACCTCCTCCTCCTCCTCCACACTCTACTCCTCCTCCTCCACACCCTCTGACCCCCTCCTCCTCCTCCACACACTCTGACCTCCCTCCTCCTCCACACTCTGACCTCCTCCTCCTCCACACTCTGACCTCCTCCTACCCTCCTCCTCCCACACACTCTGACCTCCTCCTCCCTCCTCACACCTGACCTCCTCCTCCTCCTCCCACACTCTGACCTCCTCCTCCTCCTCCACACTCTGACTCCTCCTCCTCCACACACTCTGACCTCCTCCTCCTCCTCCACACACTCTGACCTCCTCCTCCTCCTCCACACTCTCTGACCTCCTCCTCCTCCTCCTCCACACACTCTGACCTCCTCCTCCTCCTCCACACTCCTGACCTCCTCCTCCTCTCTCCACACGCTTGACCTCCTCCTCCTCCTCCACACACTCTGCCGCCACTACACCTGACCTCCTCCTCCTCACACACTCTGACCTCCTCCTCCTCCTCCCACACTCTGACCTCCTCCTCCTCCTCCACACTCTGACCTCCTCCTCCTCCTCACACACTCTGACCTCCTCCTCCTCCTCCACACACTCTGACCTCCTCCCTCCACACACTCTGACCTCCTCCTCCTCCTCCCACTCCTGACCTCCTCCTCCTCCTCCACTCACTCTGACCTCCTCCTCCTCTCACACTCTGCTCCTCCTCCTCCTCCACACACTCTGACCTCCTCCTCCTCCTCACCTCTGACCTCCTCCTCCCTCCACACACTCTGACCTCCTCCTCCTCCTCCTCACACTCTGACCTCCTCCTCCTCCTCCACACACTCTGCCTCCCTCTCCTCCTCCTCCACACTCTGACTCCTCCTCCCCACACTCTGACCTCCTCCTCCTCCTCCACACTCTGACCTCCTCCTCCTCCTCACACTCTCCTCCCTCCTCCTCCTCCACACTCTGACCCCCTCCTCCTCCTCACACTCTGACCTCCTCCTCCTCCACACACTCTGACCTCCTCCTCCTCCTCCACACTCTGACCTCCTCCTCCTCCACACACTCTGACCTCCTCCTCCTCCTCCACCTCGACACTCCTCCTCCCTCCTCCTCCTCCTCCTCCACACTCTGACCTCCTCCTCCTCCACACACTCTGACCTCTCCTCCTCCTCCTCCTCCACACACTCTGACCTCCTCCTCCTCCACACACTCTGACCTCCCTCCTCCTCCTCCTCCACACTCTGACCCTCCTCCTCCTCCACACACTGACACTCCTCCTCCTCCCTCCTCCTCTCCTCCACACACTCTGACCTCCTCCTCCTACACACTCTGACCTCCTCCTCCACACTCACACCTGACCTCCTCCTCCTCCTCCCACTCTGACCTCTCTCCTCCTCACACCTCTGACCTCCTCCTCCTCCACACACATCTGACCTCCTCCTCCTCCACACACTCTGACCTCCTCCCTCCTCCACACACTCTGACCTCCTCCTCCCTCCACACCTCTGACCTCCTCCTCCTCCTCCACACTCCTGACCTCCTCCTCCTCCTCACACTCTGACCTCCCTCCTCCTCCTCCACCCTCCACACCTCTGACCTCCTCCTCCTCCTCCCTCCACACACTCTGACCTCCTCCCTCCTCCTCCACCACACTCTGACCTCCTCCTCCTCCACCACACTCTGACCTCTCCTCCTCCTCCTCACACTCTGACCTCCTCCTCCTCCCTCACACACTCTCGACCTCCCTCCACCTCCTCCTCCTCCTCCACACACTCTGACCTCCTCCTCACCTCCTCCTCCTCTCCACACACTCTGACCTCCTCCTCCTCCTCCACACACTCTGACCTCCTCCTCCTCCTCCTCCTCACACTCTCTGACCTCCTCCTCCTCCCACACACTCTGACCTCCTCCCTCCTCCTCACACTCTCTGACCTCTCTCCTCCTCCACACTCTCCTGACCTCCTCGCCCTCCTCACTCTCTGACACCGTCCTCCTCCCTACCTCCTCCTCCACACTACTCTGACCTCCTCTCCTCCTCCACACACTCTGACCTTCCTCCTCCTCCACATTCCACTCTCCTGACCTCCTCCTCCACACACCTGAACTCTCCTCTTTCCTCCTCCCACACTCTGACCTCCTCCTCCTCCTCCCACACACTCTGACCCTCCTCCCTCCTCACCTCCTGACCTCCTCCTCGCCTCCAAACACTCTGACCTCCTCCTCCTCCTCCGTCCTCCACTCTCTGACCTCCTCCTCCTCCACACTTCTGACCTCCTCCCTCCTCCACACACTCTGACCTCCTCCTCGCCACACTCTCTGACCTTCTCCTCCCCACACTCTCTGACCTCCTCCTCCCCCACACACTCCGACCTCCTCCTCCTCCTCACACTCTGACCTCTCTCCTCCTCCACACTCTCTGTCCCACCACCTCCTCCACAACACTCTGACCCTCCACCGCGCCTCCACACTCCTGACCTCCCTCCTCCCCACACTCTCTGACCTCCTCCTCCCTCCACACAGCTTCTGGACCTCCTCCTCCTCCCACACTCTCTGGAACCTCCTCCTCCTCTCACACTCCACTGACCTCCTCCTCCCCGCTCCACACTCTCAGACTCTCCTCTTCCTCCTCCTACCTCCACACTCTCTGACACTCCTCCTCCCTCCCACCACTCTGACCTCCTCCTCCTCCTCCACACACTCTGTGACCTCCTCCCTCATCTCCTCCTCCAACACTCTGACCTCTCCTCCACCTCCACACGCTCTTAACTTCTCCCTCCCACACAGCGCTGACCGCGTCCTCCTCCTCCACACACTCTGACCTCTTCCTCCACACACACACTCTCTGACCTCCACCTCCTCCACCCACTCTGACCTCTCCTCCTCCTCCTCCCACACACTCTGACCTCCTCCTCCCTCCACACTCTGACCTCCCTCCTCCTCCACACACTCTGACCTCCTCCTCCTCCCACACACTCTGGACCTCCTCCTCCTCCTACCTCACCACACAACTCTGACCTCCCTCCTCCCTCTCTGCCTCCTCCTCCTCCACACCCTCTGACCTCCTCCTCCTCCCACACTCTGACTGACCTCCTCCTCCAACACTCTCGAACCTCCCCCTACCTCCACACACTCGACCTACCTCCTCCCTCCTCCACACTCTGACCTCCTCCTCCTCCTCCTCCTCTCCTCCTCCACACACTCTGACCTCCTCCTCCCCCTCACTCTCTGACCTCTCTCCTCCTCCACACACTGGACTCCTCCTCCACCTCCCTCTGACCTCCTCTCCTCCTCCACCTCTGACCTCCTACCTTCCTCCATCACCCTCTGACCTCCTCCTCCTCCTCACACTCTGGACCTCCCCTCCTCCTCCTCCTCCACACCTCTCTGACCTCCTCCTCCCACACACTCTGACCTCCTCCTCCCCCACACACTCTGAACCTCTCCTCCTCCCTCCACACACTCTGATGCTCACTCCTCCTCCTCACACTCTGACCACCTCCTCCCTCCTCCACCTCTCGACCTCTCTCCTCCTCCACACACTCTGACCTCTCCTCCTCCTACACCTCTGACCTCTCTCGCTCCTCCACACACTCTGACCTCCTCCACCTCCCTCCTCCCCCACTCTGCTGACCTCCTGAACCTCCTCCTCCATCACGCTCTGACCCTCCTCCTCCTCCTCCAACTCTGCCTACCTCCCTCCTCCTCCTCCACACCTCTGACCTCCTCCTCCTCCTCACACTCTGACCTCCTCCCTCCTCCCTCTCCTCCACACTCCATCCCTGAACCTCCTCCTCCTACACACTCTGGACCTCCTTCCTCCTCCTCCTCCCCCACACACTCTGGACCTCCTCCTCTCCACACCTCTGACTCCTCGTTCCACACCTCCTGACTCCTCCGCCTCCTCACACTCTGACCTCCTCCTCCTCACACTCTGCACCTCCTCCTCCTCCACACACTCTGACCTCCTCCCCTCCTCCCACTCTGGGGAACTCCTCCCTCCTCACGCTCTGACCCCCTCCTCCCTCAACACTCTCTGACCCCTCCTCCTCCTCCACCCTCACCTCTGGACTCTCCCTCCTCCTCCCACACTCTCTGACCTCCCTCCTCCTCCTTCCCTCCACCACCTCTCGACCTCCTCCTCCTCCTCACACTCTGACCTCCTCCTCCTCCTCCACCTCCACACTCTCGGACCTCCCTCCCCTCCTCCCTCCTCCCCCCTCTAACACAATCTACCCCCCACCTCCCTCCTCCCCTCCTCCCCCTCTGACTCCCTCCTCCCCAGGCTCTCTGAACCTCCTCCTCCCCCTCCCTCGCCTCCTCACACCACAACCCCCCCTCACTACACAACTCTCTCCCTCCTCACACACGAACACTCCCCACCTCAACTCCGCCACCACCCCCCTCCTCTCCTCCTCACACTCTGACTCTCCTCCTCCTCCACACACTGGAACTCTCTTCCACCACTCTGACCCTCTCCTCCTCCACACTCTCTGCCCTCCTCCTCCTCCAACCTCTGACCTCCACCTCCCCTCACACGCTGACTCCCTCCTCCGCACACTCTGACCTCCTCCTCCGCCACCCTCACTCTGACCTCCTCACTCCTCCCACACTCGACCTCCTCCTCCTCCTCCACACTCTCTGAACCTCTCCTCCTCCACACTCTCTGAACTCCTCCCTCCACCACACGCTCTGACCTCTCTCCTCCTCCCACACCTCTGACCTCCCTCCTCCTCACTCCTGACCTCCTCCTCCACGCTCACCTCTCGGACTCTGACCTCTCCTCCTCCTCCTCCACACCGACTCCTCCTCCTCCTCCTCCACACACTCTGACCTCTGACCTCCACTCCTCCTCTCCCCCACACCTCAGACCACCTCCTCCTCCCCCTCCACAGCACTCTGACCTCCTCCCTACCTGCCACACTCTCTGACCTACTCCTCACACTCTGACCTCCTCCTCCCACACTCTCTGACCTCCTCCTCCTCCTCACACTCTGACCTCCTCCTCCACCACACACTCTGACCCACCCCTCCTCCCCTCCTCCCACACTCTGACCTCCTCCCTCCACCACTCTCTGACCTCCTCCCCTCCTCACACACTCTGACCTCCTCCTCCTCCTCACACACTGACTCGCTCCTCTCCTCCTCCTCACCTACACACTCTGACCTCCCTCCTCCACCTCTCGACCTCTCTCGACCACACACCTCTGGACCTCCTCTCCCTCCTCTCCACACACCTGACCTCCTCCTCCCTCACCTCCGCACACTCGCTCCTCCCCTCCCTGACCTCCTCTCCCTCCTCACACTCTGACCTCCTCCTCCCTCCCCTCACACTCTGACCTCCTCCTCCTCTCCTCACCTCCTGCTCTCCACCTCCTCCTCCTCCTCACTCTCTGAGCTCCTCCTCCTCCCACACTCTCTGACCTCCTCTCCTCCTCCACCACTGACCTCTCTCCTCCACACCTCTGACCTCCTCCTCCTCCTCCTCACACTCTCTGACCTCCTCCTCCTCCTCACACTCTGACCTCCTCCTCCTCCTCACCTCTGACGCTCCTCCTCCTCCTCCTCCACCCACCTCTGGACACTCCTCCCCTCCTCACACTCTGACCTCCTCCTCCTCCACACCTCTGACCTCCTCCTCCTCCTCACACTCTGATCTCCTCCTCCTCCTCACACTCTGAACCTCCTCCTCCTCCCTCCACACTCTGAGACCTCTCCTCCTCCTCCACACCTCGAACTCTCTCCTCCTCACCTCTGACCTCACTCCTCCTCACACTCTGACCTCCTCCCCTCCTCCTCCTCACACTCTGACCACTCTCCTCCTCCTCCTCCACACTCTGACCTCTCCTCCTCTCACCTCTGACCTCTCCTGCCTACCTCCTCCCTCACTCTCTGACCTCCTCCTCGCTCCCCACACTCTGACAACTCCTCCTCCTCCTCACCTCCATCCAACTCTCTGACCTCCTCCTCCTCCTCCACACACTCTGACCTCCTCCTCCTCCACCTCCTCCCCACACTCTGACCTCCTCCTCCACACACTCTGACTCCTCCTCCCACTCACTCTGACCTCCTCCTCCTCCTCCTCACACTCTGACCTCCTCCTCCTCCTCACCTCTGACCTCCTCCCCGCCTCACACCTGGAACCTCCCCTCCTCCTCCCTCACACTCGGACCTCTCCTCCTCTCCTCACACTCTGACCTCCTCCTCCTCCTCACCTCTGACCTCCTCCTCCCTCACACTCTGGACCTCCTCCTCCCTCCCTCCACACACTCTGACCTCCTCCTCCGCCTCACACAACTCTGGACCTCCTCTCCTCCCTCCACACACTCTGACCTCCTCCTCCTCCTCCTCACCTCTGACCTCCCTCCTCCCCTCCTCACCCTGACCTCCTCCTCCTCCTCCACACACTCTGACCTCTCCTCCCTCCTCCACACTCTGACCTCCTCCTCCTCCTCCACACACTCTGACCTCCTCCTCCTCCTCCACACACTCTGACCTCCTCCTCCTCCTCACACTCTGACCTCCTCCTCCTCCTCACACTCTGACCTCCTCCTCCTCCCCACACTCTGACCCCTCCTCCCCCACACCTGACCTCCTCCTCCCCACACTCACTCTGACCTCCTCCTCCTCCTCACACACTCTGAACTCCTCCTCCTCCCTCACACTCTGACCTCCTCCTCCTACTCCTCCACACACTCTGACCTCCTCCTCCCTCCTCACACTCTGACCTCCTCCTCCTCCTCCTCCCACACTCTGACCTCCTCCTCCTCACACTCTGACCTCACCCCCCCTCACACTCTGACCTCCTCCTCCTCCTCCTACACACTCTGAACTCCCCTCCCCCCTCACCTCTGACCTCCTCCTCCTCCACACCTCTGACCTCCTCCTCCCTCACACTCTGACCTCCCTCCTCCTCACACCTCGACCTCCTCCTCCTCCTCACACTCTGAACCTCCTCCTCCTCCCTCACCTCTGAACCTCCTCCCTCCTCCCTCCTCACACTCTCATCCCCCTCCTCCTCACACTCGACCTCCTCCTCCTCCTCCTCCTCACACTCTGACCTCCTCCTCCTCCTCACACTCTGACCTCCTCCTCCTCCTCCTCACACTCTGACCTCCTCCTCCTCCCTCACACTCTGACCTCCTCCTCCTCCTCCTCCCACACCTCTGACCTCCTCCTCCCTCCTCTACACCACTCTGACCTCCTCCTCCTCCTCCTCACACTCTGGACCTCCTCCTCCTCCTCACACTCTGACCTCCTCCTCCTCCTCACACTCTGACCTCCTCCTCCTCCCCCACACTCTGACCTCCTCCTCCCTCCTCACACTCTGACCTCCTCCTCCTCCTCACACACTCTGACCTCCTCCTCCTCCTCACACTCCTGACCTCCTCCTCCCTCACACTCTCTGACCTCCTCCTCCTCCTCCACACACTCTGACCTCCTCCTCCTCCACACACTCTGACCTCCTCCTCCCTCCACACTCTGACCTCCTCCTCCTCCTCACACTCTCTGACCTCCTCCTCCTCCTCACACTCTGACCTCCTCCTCCTCCTCCTCACACTCTGACTCCTCCTCCTCCACACACTCTGCCTCCTCCTCCGTCCCTCCTCCTCCGCCACACTCTCTGACCTCCTCCTCCTCCTCCTCTCACACTCTGACCTCCTCCTCCTCCACACACTCTGACCTCCTCCTCCCTCACCTCTGACACTCTCTGACCTCCTCCTCCTCCTCACACTCTGACCTCCTCCTCCGACTCACACTCTGACCTCCTCCTCCTCACACTCTGACCTCCTCCTCCTCCTCACACTCCTGACCTCCTCCTCCTCCTCCACACTCTGACCTCCTCCTCCCTCCACACTCTGACCTCTCTCCTCCTCCACCTCTGACCTCCTCCTCCTCACTCACTCTGACCTCCTCCTCCTCCTCACACTCCTGACCTCCTCCTCCTCCTCACACTCTGACCTCCCTCCTCCACACACTCTGACCTCCTCCTCCTCACACCTCTGACCTCCTCCTCCTCCTCACCTCTGACCTCCTCCCTCCTCACACTCTGACCTCCTCCTCTCCTCCACACTCTCTGACCTCCTCCTCCTCCACACACTCTGACCTCCTCCTCCTCACACTCTCGACCTCCTCCTCCTCCACACACTCTGACCTCCTCCTCCTCACACACTCTGACCTCCTCCTCCCCCTCACACTCTGACCTCCCTCCTCCCTCCCACTCTCTGACCTCCTCCTCCTCACCACACACTCTGACCTCCTCCCCTCACACTCTGACCTCCTCCTCCTCACACTCTGACCTCCTCCTCCTCCTCACACTCTGACCTCCTCCTCCTCCTCCACACACTCTGACCTCCCTCCTCCCTCCTCACACTCTGACCTCCTCCTCCCTCCTCACACTCTCTGACCTCCTCCTCTCTCCTCCTCCACACCCTGGAACTCCTCCTCCCCTCACACTCTCCTGACCTCCTCCTCCTCCTCACACCTCTGACCTCCTCCTCCTCCTCCTCCACACTCTCGACCTCCTCCTCCTCCACACTCTCTGACCTCTCTCCTCCACACACTCTGGACCTCCTCCCCTCCACCCTCACTCGGACCTCCTCTCCCTCCACACTCTCTGACCTCCTCCTCCTCCACACTCTGCCCTCTGCCTCCTCCTCCTCCTCACACTCGGACCTCCCTCCTCCTCACTCTCTGACCTCCTCCTCCTCACCCTCTCTACCGCCTCCTCCGCCTCCACACTCTGACCTCCTCCCTCCTCCTCACTCCTCCCCACCTCTACCTCCTCCTCCTCCACACCTCTGACCTCCTCCTCCTCCCTCACACTCTGACCTCCTCCCTCCTCCATCACACTCTGACTCTCCGCCTCCCTCACCTCTGACCTCTCTCCTCCCTCCACACACTCTGACCGTCCTCCCTCCTCCACCACTCTGACTCCTGCTCCTCCTCCACCTCGAACTCCTCCTCCTCCACACACTCTGACCTCCTCCTCCCCCACACTACTCTGACCTCCTCCTCCTCTCACACTCTGACCTCCTCCTCCTCCTCACACTCGACCTCTCTCCTCCTCCTACACACTCTGACCTCCTCCTCCCTCCACACACTCTGGACCTCCTCCTCCTCTCACACTCTGGACCTCCTCCTCCTCCTCCTCACTCTCTGACCTCCTCCTCCTCCTCACACTCTGACCTCCTCCTCCTCCCTCACACTCTGGACCTCCTCCTCCTCCTCACACTCTGACTCTCCTCCTCCTCCTCACACTCTGACCTCCTCCTCCTCCTCCACACTCTCTGACCTCCTCCTCCTCCACACACTCTGACCTCACCTCCTCCTCCTCACACTCTGAACTCCTCCGCCTCCTCACACTCTGACCTCCCTCCTCACCTCCTCCTCCACACTCTCTGACCTCCTCTCTCCTCCTCACACTCTGACACTCCTCCTCCTCCACACACTCTGGACCTCCCTCCTCCTCCTCCACACTCTGACCTCCTCCTCCTCTCAACACTCTGACCTCCCTCACCTCCTCCTCTCCACACTCTGAACCCTCCTCCTCCTCACACTCTGACCTCCCTCCTCCTCCTCCTCCTCCACACTCTGACTCCTCCTCCTCCTCACACTCTGACTCCTCTCCTCCCATCACCACTGACCTCCTCCTCCTCCTCACACTCTGACCTCCTCCTCCTCAACACTCTGACCCTCCTCCCCTCCTCACACTCGGACCTCCTCCTCCTCACCTCCTGACCTCCTCCTCCTCCTCACACTCTGGACCTCCTCCTCCTCCACACTCCTGACCTCCTCCTCCTCCTCCACACACTCTGACCTCCTCCTCCGCCTCACACTCTGGACCTCCTCCTCCCCTCCTCACACTCTGTACCTCCTCCTCCTCCACACACTCTGACCTCCTCCTCTCCTCCTCCTCCTCACACTCTGACCTCCTCCTCCTCACACCTCTGACCTCGACCTCCTCCTCCACACTCACTCTGACTCTCCTCCTCCTCACACTCTGACTCCTCCTCCTCCTCACACTCTGACCTCCTCCTCCTCCCACACCTCTGACCTCCTCCTCCTCCTCCTCACTCTGACCTCCCCTCCTCACACTCTGACCTCCTCCTCCTCACACACTCTACCTCCTCCTCCTCCTCACACTCTGACCTCCTCTCCTCCTCCACACACTCTGACCACCCCTCCTCCTCCACACACTCTGACCTCCTCCTCCTCCCCCACACTCTCTGACCTCCTCCTCCTCCCTCACACTCTGACCTCCCCCCTCCTCGCCTCCACACCTCTGAACCTCCTCCTCCTCCACCTCACCTCTCTGACCCTCCTCCTCCTCCACACACTCTGACCTCCTCCTCCCTCCCTCACACTCTGACCTCCCTCCTCCACCTCGCTGACCTCCTCCTCCTCCCCACACCTCTGACCTCTCTCCTCCTCCTCACACACTCTGACCTCCTCCTCCTCCACACACTCTGACCTCCTCCTCCTCCTCACACTCTGACCTCCTCCTCTCCACACACTCTGGACCTCCTCCTCCTCCTCACACTCTGACCTCTCCTCCCCTCCCCTCACACACTCTGACCCTCCTCCCCCTCCTCCACACCCTCTGACCTCCTCTCCTCCACACACCTCTGACCTCCTCCCTCCTCCTCACACTCTGACCTCCTCCTCCCTCCTCCTCCTCACACACTCTGACCTCCTCCTCCACACACTCGGACCTCCTCCTCCTCCACACCTCTGGACCTCCTCCTCCCTCCCACAACCTCTGACCCTCCTCCGCCTCCTCACTACACACTCTGACCCCTCCTCCTCCCTCACCTCTGACCTCCTCCTCCTCCCCACACTCTGACCTCCTCCTCCTCTCCTCCACTCTGACCTCCCTCCTCCTCACACTCTGACTCCTCCTCCTCCTCCTCACACCTCTGACACCTCCTCCTCCTCCCTCACACTCTGACCTCTCCTCCTCTCCTCACACTCTGACCTCCTCCTCCTCCTCCCACACTCTGACCTCCTCCTCCTCCTCACACTCTGACCTCCTCCTCCCCTCCTCACACTCTGACCTCCTCCTCCCCTCTCCTCACCTCTGACCTCCTCCTCCTCCTCACACTCTGACCTCCTCCTCCTCCTCACACTCTGACTCCTCCTCCTCCTCTCACACTCTGACCTCCTCCTCCTCCTCACACTCTGACCTCCTCCTCCTCCTCACACCTCTGACCTCTCTCCTCCTCCACACACTCTGACCTCCTCCTCCTCCCACACTCTGACCTCCTCCTCCTCCTCACACTCTGACCCCTCCTCCTCCTCCTCTCCACACTCTGACCTCCTCCTCCTCCTCACACTCTGACTCCTCCTCCTCACCTGCCTCCTCCGCCACACACTCTGACCTCCTCCTCCTCCTCACACTCTGAACCTCCTCCTCCTCCTCACACTCTGACCTCCTCCTCCCACCTCCTCCTCCTCCCTACACCTCTGACCTCCTCCTCCTCCACACACTCTGACCTCCTCCTCCTCCTCCACCTCACTCTGACCTCCTCCTCCTCCCCACACCTCTGAACCTCCTCCTCCATCACTCTCGGACCTCCTCCTCCTCCTCCACACACTCTGACCTCCTCCTCCTCCTCACACTCTGACCTCCTCCTCCCTCCACACACTCTGACCTCCTCCTCCTCCTCACACACACTCTGACCTCCTCTCCTCCTCCACACCTCTGACCTCCTCCTCCCCTCACACTCTGACCTCCCTCCTCCTCCTCACACTCTGACCTCCTCCTCCTCCTCCTCTCTGCCGCACCTCACACTCTGACCTCCTCCTCCTCACACTCTGACCTCCTCCTCCTCCTCACACTCTGACCTCCTCCTCCTCCTCCACACACTCTGACCTCCTCCTCCTCCTCACACTCTCCCTCCTCCTCCTCCTCCTCCACACACTCTGACCTCCTCCTCCTCCTCACACTCTGGACCTCCTCCTCCTCCTCCACACTCCTGACCTCCTCCTCCTCCCTCACACTCTGACCTCCTCCTCCCTCACACTCTGACCTCCTCCTCCTCCTCACACTCTGACCTCCTCCCCTCCACACCTCTGACCTCCCTCCTCCACACACTCTGACCTCCTCCTCCTCACACACTCTGACCTCCTCCTCCTCACCTCTGACCACCTCTGACTCCTCCTCCTCCTCCCCACACTCTCGGACCTCCTCCTCCTCCTCCTCACACTCTGACCTCCTCCTCCTCCTCACACTCTGACCTCTCCTCCTCCTCCTCACACTCTGACCTCCTCCTCCCCACACTCTGACCTCCTCCTCCCCTCCACACACTCTGACCTCCTCCTCCTCCCTCACTCCACACTCCTGACCTCCGCCTCCTCCTCACTACTCTGACCTCCTCCTCCTCCCTCACACTCTGGACCTCCCTCCTCCTCCTCACTCTGACCTCCTCCTCCTCCTCACACTCTGACCTCCTCCTCCTCCTCACACTCTGACCTCCTCCTCCCTCACCTCCTCCCTCCTCCACACCTCTGACCTCCTTCCTCCTCCTCCCTCCCACACTCTGACCTCCTCCTCCCACACACTCTGACCTCCTCCTCCTCCACTCCTCACTCCTCTGACCTCCTCCTCCTCCTCACACTCTGACTCCTCCTCCTCCTCCACACACTCTGACCTGCCTCCTCCTCCACACACTCGACCTCCTCCTCCCTCCTCCACACTCTGACCTCCTCCTCCCCTCACTCTGACCTCCTCCTCCTCCCACACCTCTGACCTCCTCCTCCGCCTCACACTCTGACCTCCTCCTCCCCACACACTCTGACCTCCTCCTCCTCTCCACACACTCTGACCTCCTCCTCCTCCTCACACTCTCTGACCTCCTCCTCCTCCACACACTCTGACCTCCTCCTCCTCCACACACTCTGACCTCCTCCTCCTCCTCACACTCTGACCTCCTCCTCCTCACACCTCCTCACTCTCTCCTCACTCCTCCTCCTCCACACACTCTGACCTCCTCCTCCTCCACACTCTCGACCTCGTCCTCCTCCTCCTCCTCCACACTCTCTGACCTCCTCCTCCTCCCCACACTCTGACCTCCTCCTCGCCTCCTCCCCACACTCTGACCTCCTCCTCCTCCACACACTCTGACCTCCTCCTCCTCACCTCTGTCCTCCTCCACACTCTGGACCTCTCCTCCTCCTCCTCACACTCTGACCTCCTCCTCCCCTCACACACTCTGACCTCCTCCTCCCTCCTCCTCCTCCTCACACTCTGACCTCCTCTCCTCCTCACACTCTGACCTCCTCCTCCCCTCACACTCTGACCTCCTCCTCCTCTCACACTCTGACCTCCTCCTCCTCCTCACACTCTGACCTCCTCCTCCTCCTCCTCCACACTCTGACCTCCTCCTCCTCCACACTCTCTGACCTCCTCCTCCTCACACACTCTGACCTCCTCCTCCTCCCTCACACTCTGACCTCCTCCTCCTCCTCACACTCTGACCTCCCCTCCTCCTCCTCACACTCTGACCTCCTCCTCCCTCACTCTCTGACCTCCTCCTCCTCCTCACACTCTGACCTCCTCCTCCTCCTCCTCACATCTGACCTCCTCTCCTCCTCCTCCACTCTGACCTCCTCCTCCTCCCCTCACACTCTGACCTCCTCCTCCCTCACACACTCTGACCTCCTCCTCCTCCCCACACCTCTGACCTCCTCCTCCTCCCACACTCTGACCTCCTCTCCTCCACACACTCTGACCTCCTCCTCCTCCACACCTCTGACCTCCTCCTCCTCCTCACACTCTGACCTCCTCCTCCTCCTCACACTCTCTGACCTCTCTCCTCCTCCTCACACTCTGACCTCCTCCTCCTC